TAAAAAATAATTATTTTTTAAAAAATAAAAATAAATAATTCTAAACTGTTCATGATTGAAAGTAAATAGTTAAAATTTTATAAAATTAATATTTTTAAATAAAAAAACAAAATTAGTACCTTTGTTTACACCTTTTCTCTTGCATGTACAAATAATTTATGCCTAATTGCAATGGGCCTAGGCACAGGCCCATGTAGATACCATGAAGGATCTATTATAGTCTGTTGAAATGCCGAGGCCCACTCTTGAAACCTCCCTGTTTTCCTCCGTCGAGCGAGCAGCTTCCTAGTTCTGCCGCCGTGCCATCTCCTCTGCTTGCAAACAAAATTTTTCTTTCATGTTACCCCCACTTCAATTCGAATCACCATTTATCCAAAAGAGAGAGAGAACCAGAAAAAGAAATGATTTGCTGAGTGCAGCTTGCACTCGTGCCGTGATTGGTTTGAGTGCAATTTCCTTTTAAATAAAAAAAAAAAATTTTGAAAGTAGATGAGTCAAATTTTAGTAAGAGTGCTTGAACACTCGCGTGTCTCCCGAGTGCATATGGCACTCCTCGGAGGGGAAAGAGGGTACCGGGGGTTCCCCCTTCCCCCTTCCCATTCCCCTCGAAGCATCAAAAAAATGAAATAACTACATCATCATCAATATTTAAGAAATTAATGTTTATTAGCCGAATTTTTAAAAAAAAAAAAAAAAACACTTTAAAATTATATTATTTCAATACAACATTATAAAAATAGACCAAAAACACTTATTTTTAGAGGCCAGCTAACAAACACTTTTCTCGTGAATCAATTTGCAATTAAGCAACTTGGGAAGAAAGTTATGGCAAAATGCCTTTTTCAATTTATTAAAGAAAACCTAACATCCACGAAAGCGAGTCACAGCCAATGGTGCTACGAAGCAGCATGGAAGACAAACAATAAAGTAAAATAATTCAACATGTAATCAAGTATAACTTCCTGTTATAAAGACCAACTCGCAAATCTATGGTACTGATGTAAAATTCTGCACCAACATGTCAAGCAATAGCCACCCATTTAAAAATTAAATAGAAAAATTGAGTGTATTTTCAGTATGAAAGTTTTATCAAGATCTTTGATTTGAAGCCTCCAAGCGCATGCAAACTATCGATGTTGAATTGGAGGAATACCACATCAGAAGCCAATAATCTAGTAACTCCTGCCCCAGTAGGTCCACTTCTTTGCAGGCTTACCAGAAACAAAGCATTTAGCACCTGCATTTAGTTTTAACAAAGCAAAGAATTTAGAGGCAATATGGTGAAGTAACAAATAACCAGAAATGCAGTCCGTTAGTAGTTTCATACAAAATGCAAAAAACTGCCATGGCATTGTTGTCCTTGAATACGATACACAATATTTCTTTCTTTGGTAAAGTCCAAATTTAACATCATTCAGAATTTCATTAAAAGTGAGATTGTGTTGCAGCTATAATTAGTTTATTACTGTGCAGCACTAATTCTCCATAAAACAGATTATTACTAGTATTAGCAAATGAAAAGATCAAGAAGAAAGCAAGTTTCTATTTAGCAAAATTAATCCCTAATTATTTATTGTCATATTCCTAATTATTTTTTGTTGGCAATGCTCTCTGTAAACAATATGTTCAATGTAACAGAAAATAGTACCTTCTGGAAGTTCAGGCTGATCAAATGGGGTACAAAGAGATTTAGCAGCTCCCAGCTCACCCTTTGTTCGCTCTTTCACTTCTTTCTCAATATCCTTGAGAGAGACAACACATCAACAGTCATAGAAGGTAAATGCATTATATTTCTGGTATAACATAAACATTACTTCCCTTTTAGAAACAGAAAAGAACAAAATGAAACAGTAGAATAAAATAAAAATGTGTCAAGATATTTCTAGCAACAAAGGTAGGGAAGTCAAAGCATAAATCTAGAACAGATCATTGGACTTCATATCTCAACACAAATACATAAAAAGAGGAACCACAACCAGAAGCCTGGAAAAATATTTTTGTGAGAAAAAAAGGGATTCAACTAGTTTTGTCATCTAAACTAACTCTTGAGGCCAATACAATTGAAATGAAGTGAAAGAGAAGTTATATACGAAAGCATTAAGAAAAATAATGCTGCAAAAACAGATATCATCTCTATAAGCAAAGAAGGATTCTGAAAATTTGTGTCAAACCTCCTCATCGCACCAAGGAGCCAAGATCATTTGCTTTTCCCCAATAGCCTTTACAAATTCATCCCATGTTCTTGCAACTTGAATGCAGGCATCTCGTTTTTGTTTTGCAACCTCAAAAAGATTTTCGTGAATCTTATCCAGAATACCTTTCACTTGTTCAACTAAAAATACCCTAGAAATATCACTTTTTGCTCCATTGTCACGGCGAACAACACGTACCTGTCAATAGGATTGAGAGTAAAGGACTTCGACAGTTTTTGCCATATGAAAATAACAAACATGAAGGACAGTAAGAGCAACACTGGAAAAGGGAGGAAGGTGAAGGGAGGTGGGGGAATGGATTCTTAACCTGGTTGTTTGCCAAATCTCTTGGCCCTATTTCAATCCTTATGGGAACACCTTTCATTTCCCAGTCAGAATACTTCCAACCAGGAGAGTAGTTATCTCGAAGATCAGCCTTAGCACGAATACCTGCTTCTGACAGTGCAGTCACAGTTTCAACACAGGCATCAAAAATACCTTTGGTATCAGCATCTTTGTAAGGGACAGGAACCACAACAACTTGCAATGCTGCTACCTTGGGAGGTAACACCAAGCCTTTGTCATCACCATGAACCATGACCATAACTCCAATCTGCATAACCAAAACAACAAGTAAATGATCAATAAGGAAAAGAATTAACATTAATGAACAAAATTTTCAAATAAAAGAGGAAATAGGCATAAAAGTTCTACCGTTCGAGTACTGTATGCCCAAGAGTTCTGCCAGACCATAGACTTCTCTCCTTTCTCATTCTCAAAGTTTATCTCAAACATTTTTGCAAAATTTTGGCCCAAACAATGGGAAGTTGCACCTTGAATGCCACGACCACTGTTTGGAATAAATGCCTGTCATATAGACATAAATTAGAGGTTCCTAAGTTTAGATTAGATCATATTATCAATTAATGCCAATTGGTTTAATTAAATCTAACATGAAGGTGACAGAGAAAATCAATACATGCATGTTAGTTAATTACTACCTCAACGCTAGTTGTGTAAAGTCCACCAGCAAACTTCTCCATCTCAGTCTTCTTCCCTTTTATAACAGGGATAGCCAAGAATTCTTCATATATCTGTCTATAAAGTTCCAATATTTGAAGAACCTGAGGTACAAAGAAACAATAAACAGATCAGATCATGGTGAAATATTCTTCTTCTCCCATATGCTATTAAATTTTTTCCTTTGTAATGGTCGGTTGGTGGCATAGAATGCCATGGGTGACTTGAACATGAGAAGCATCACTGTTCAATTTTATTTGAAAGTGAATGACTGCAATATGGATAGTTAATAAAAATTTTGCATCATACCTCTGTGTCTGCCTCTTCTTTTGTTGCAAAAGCAGTATGTCCTTCCTGCCAGAGAAACTCACGACTCCTGCAAATCAAGATAAAATAATATATCATCCACATGGTGAATGAAGAGGGGAAGACAAGACGACAGTGGCACTGGAATCATCCAATCCAACAATGTTTAACGAACTACCTGATAAATGGAGTAGGATTGCTGAATTCCCATCTCACAACATTACACCATTGATTAAGTTTCAAAGGCAAGTCACGGTGTCCCCTTATCCACTTAGAATAGTAGGGATACATCACTGTCTCACTAGTTGGACGGATTGCAATGGGCACTTCCAAATCTGACTTTCCTGATTTGGTTACCCAAGCAACCTAGGAAAGACATACAAGACAAATAAATAAAATAAATACAAAAGCATTAAAGTAATTGCTCTCTGTTGATTATTAGTACTATGTTTATTGGAAACAGAAAGCAGCTAATCTTGACTTTGCATTGCAGCCTAGCAGATGAAAACCTAAAATGGGAAGTTCCAGAGAAAAGAGCAAACAACAAAAGGGGCTAGGCACAGAATTCTAGTTATGAGTAGGAAAGCTAGGTAATGTAGACATCAATAAAGATTATCTTTTAAGTTATGCTTTTGATTATTCTCTGACAGATTCCAATTTATCCTCTATGTACAAGTCAAAGTGGTTTTCAAGGAAAAAAACTTAGATTAATTAAGAAGAAATAATCCAATATCAAAACTATTGTGTTGTAAGAACATAAATCTCACCTCAGGGGCGAACCCCTCAATGTGATCCTTCTCCTTTTGTAAAACACCAGGAGATACAAAAAGAGGGAAGTAGCAGTTCTTGATTTCCATCTTCTTAATCTCTGCATCAAAAAATGTCTGCATACTAACAACAACGATTAGTCAACTACAGATAAGAAAATGGGGAGGAACAAAATGTAACATAACCTTTTTCTTTGCCTAACTCAAAAAACTCTTTTTGACATCCCAAATTAAAATCCAATCCAATTTCATAAGTTAGAGGTCAGGTAACATCAAAATTGATATTCTTGACATACATAATCATTTGAACAAGCTATATAAAGGAGGCATTTTGAATAACTTCAGCAGAAACAAAGATAATAAAACATTGAATTCACTTACTTGAATGATCTCCCAGATAGAGATTGCCCATGGCCTCAGAATATAACAGCCCGAAATGTCATAGTACTCAATCATTTCAGAACTGACAACAACCTTCACAGAAGATAAAGAATTCAAATACTAAAAACAAGATCCAATTGGGAATTATGCAATTCTGGCCGACAAACATACCTCAGAGTACCATTCTCCAAAATTCTCATCTTTCTTAAAAGATAGCCCCAACCCAGTCTCCTTCTTGACTTCCTTCTTCTTTCCCCCTAACCCATTAACAAAGAAAAAGCTCCAGACTTAGAAACTACTTCGATTACGAGAAATTAACTGGTGTATCCATAAACAGCGCTAGAACAGCTTACGAGCTGAACCAATGGGTAAAACCACTCACCTCCGCTGGAACCAGAATTAGTCTTCTTTTCACCTCCCGCCATGTAGAGACGATGGCTGCGTTTCCTTCTGTTTACAGAGGGATGAAGAAAAAGTTTAGAAATGAGATGAAGAGCACAGGGGAGGAGGAAATGACAGCCTCTCAGCGTAAGCCCTAAAATTGGACCAGTAGTACTAATAATTATTAATTAAAAATGGTGGGACCGGATTTAGGGTCCGACTCCGACCGACCAAGGCTCTGACACAATCGAAAAATATTGTGCAACTTTTCTTTTTCTGATAAAAAATTATTGTACGATTACAACTCGTTATCATTTGGATCTAATAGGAAGATCGGAGAAAAGGGTCTCTCGATTTAGTTGTCTAGCAGTTTAATATAAGTATGTTTTATTATAATAAGGGTTCGACCTCCCTCGTCACTTCCTCTCTTGATTCAGTTGTCTTAATAAAAAAAATTAGAAAAGTGTTATATAATTTTAATTATTTTTAATTATAAAATGTTAATATTTTGATAGATGAAGATTTTTAATATTAAAAATTTTTAATAAAAAAATATTTTATAATTTAGATTGATTTATATTATAAAATAGGTTAAAACCTCATTTTGGTCCTTAAACTATTGTATGGACCCCTAATTTGGTCCCTAAACTAAACAAATCCCTGATTTGATCCCTACTGTTTACCATTTTAACCCCAATTTGGTCCTTCTGTTAAATATCTGCTTACGTGTCTTGTTACTTGACGGGAAATAGGATGACATGTCAAATATTAATACACGTGGTAGACAATAAGACCAAAAAAAGTGATGACATGGAAAAAATAATAATATAAAAAAATATTATGAAAAATAAAACTTAAAAAAACTTTTTTTTTTCTTTTTCCTTCTCTTTCCTTTTCTCTTTCTCCTTCCTCTTCCCCTTCCCCTTCTCTTTCCCCCTTCGAACCCAAGCGCGGCCTGGGTTCGACTTCTGCGCCTGGGTTCCGTCGAACCCAGGCATGCTGGGTTCAGTGGAACCTAGCATGCTTGGGTTCGATGAAACCCAGGCACTGGGTTCCTTAAGACTCAACCGTGGGTTCCAAAAAAAAAAAAAAAGAATTTCTGTTTTCTTTGTTTGGGTTTTGTTGTTTGATGATATGAGAAATTGATTGATGAAGATGAAGAAGGCAAGGCAGCCATTGGGTTTTTGCAGGTGGATGAAGATGAAGAAGGCATAGGTGCTGGGTTCAATTTCGAACCCAGCAAGCAATCGAATCTAGCATCGAACCCAGCAGCCGCTGGGTTCCTGTAGGTGCTGGGTTCGAAGGTGCTGGATTTGATTTTGAACCCAGCAGGCACTGGGTTCCGTTTTGAACCCAGCAAGCACTGGGTTCCGTTTCTAACCCAGCAACCATTGGATCCATGGATCTGTTGAGTTCCATTTGTTTATCGATTTATTGTTTGTTGGGTTCTGTTTCAAACTCAGCAGTCGTTGGGTCAATGGATCTGTTGAGTTTGATCTATTTATGGATTTGTTATCTGTTGTGTTATCCTCGTATTCTTGCAGGTGCTGGATTCGATTTCAAACCTAGCAAGCGTTGGGTTTTGTTTCCAACCCAACTGCAGTTGGATCGAAGGATCTATTGATTTCTATATGTTGGTTTGT